TAGGAATACAAGTCACTTGTAACTTTGGGACTTCCCATAATATCATCCCTGCTATTCTCAATGCAGCAGCTGACATTTGGAGGCTAAGAAGAAAGAGTTCAAAAAGGAAAATCAAAGTGCCTAAAACGTTAAGTTTTTCTAAGCTCATGAATAATCAGATATGTAGATGATTTTACCCACCAGAATCATTCTGAATATTGGTTATATCATTAAAGAAAGAAAAGTGCCTAAATTGTCATCCCTAACAGATTGCCTTGTTGCTGTTCCTGCCAACTTCTGTGAAATATTTGCATTCTGTTCCAGTTCTCAACAGAAGTAAATAAGGAAGTAATGTGGCTGATTTCCGTTCTCGTGGCTCAACAATTGGCTGAGGAAACTGCTGTTTGCAGAAGTAGTTCTGGGATAACTCAAAGGGAAGAAAACACTGATGCCCAGATGGTATTGGCTTTTGTTCCAAGTATACTAGGATATTAATGCTTCATTCTCCATAATGAAATGTGTTCTAGGCTGTATTTACAGCTCATACACTCTTCTCTGCCTGTACTGTTACACTTGAAAAATGGAGAAGTTCCCCCAGCCGTGGTACACATATGGTCAAAGTGCCATTCTGAATTGGCAAAGAGGAGAAAAAGCAAATGAAGATCCAATTTTGTTAGCAGATTGTTAGCACTCCTCTATTCTTTGCAAAGAACAAACTTAAAGCATTATTATAGGTATCTATAACATAAAAGGGTTAGTAAGATTAAAAAAGAAATCATTTTGAGGGCCATTTTCTGCCAACTTTCTAATTAAAATAGCCCCTATGCTCCCAAACACACACCTCCTAGCTGGCATTTGGGCACTCAGCTCAAACTTTGACATATTTTCTGGTACACTGAGAAACACCTATAGTCACTGGAGCTTTGTTTTAAACTTAGGATTGTTTGTTATCCTTTTTTTTTTTTTTTTTTGTTACAAGCACTGGCTGAAACTACTGGATGCAAATGACAAAAACACTGATGTTACAGGTTTGATGTATAATCTCCTTATCCAATTTCTTTCTCTGTAGTCTGAAAATCCCCCAGAATCTCAAACTCAGTGTAACTAAAATAGAACTCCTCACTTTCACCCTCAGATCTACTTGTCCAGCATATGCATAGCTACACAATACAACTCTTCCAGTTTTGCAGGATCAAAGTTATAGGATCATCATGGCTTGGTGGTAAGGAGCACTGGAGTTAAGAGTGCCTACCTCTGGGTGAAGCTGTGGGTTTGTGAGGCCTTAGTTTTCACATCTATTGAATCAGGTTATTAACAGTAACCACCTCATAGGGTAATTGTGAGCTACCCTGTGAGGTGAGCTGATGTGGGTACATTACAAATACATGCTACTGTTGTTATTATTCCACCTCCTAGATATTTTTCAATTAAGTCTTATGTTCCTAACCTAGGTCATAGTCCTTTTACCTTACCTGGTTACCACATTATACCAACTATACCCCTGTGGTGTCTCAAACACTGCTCCTCTCAGCATTGGTCCTAAACACAAAACCAAAAAAGTCAAGGCAATTTCAAAATCTATTGGTGATTTTCCATTGCCCATGAGATAAGCTTCAAATTCTAGTCTGGCATCCATAATTCTCCAGAAATAGATTCAGGAGGCAGAACAGAAGTAGCCAGAGCCCAGCAATGCCTCCATGTGCAACAATCACTTGCTAAAGGAATAAATGGATTTAGAAGTCAAGGCTGGTCTTTAGTTACATCTGTCACTAATTAGCTATGATCTCCAGTGGTCTCCGTTTCCTTATCTAGAGCACAGCTAATTAGTGACAGATGTAACTTATCTAGATGCTTAGCTGATTATCATGACCATTCCTTTCTTTGCTTAAATCCAATAATCTTCCCAGCTTCCCTTGTCATGGCTGAGCCTTAACTACACTTGTTTTACTCTCTGTTCTCTCCAAATAACCTGTCACCTCAAGTTCTGGCTCCAATTGTTCCTTTTGCTTGAAATTTCCTGCCCCTCCACACCAATATCTTCCTGTGAAAATTTGACCCTCTCAACAACAGCCAAATCAAATGTTACCTTATTCAAAAGCCTTTCCACCTAAACTCCCACCTCTGTTCTCTTAATTTTAGAAGGATTTCTTTTGATGTCAGTCCCCTAGCTCACCAAGAGTACCTGATCCTAAGACTTATCACTTTCCTTCTTCTATCAGTTATCTGTCCATAAGCTTTACAGATGACAGTTAAAAACCTTAGTCCTTGGCATAAGATTAGATTCAACATTTTGAATTTAGACACTCATCAACTTGGTAGTCAGAAAGGTAATTGCTACAAACCTCTCACAGACTCTGGAAACTGTTAATGGAGAGATCTGAAGGCATGAGAACACAGTTGTTGCTTTTTTAAAAATTTTAGTGGGCAGAACACTCTAGAGTGAATTTGATTTATAACTAGTTTTCTCAAACTGCAATTCTTAGATCACTTACATCAAATTAATCTGTGGTGCTTGTTAAAGATGCAGATTTCTTGGCCCCACTCAGACTTAGTGATTTGGTATCTATAAAGGTGAGGCCTGGGCATCAGCATTTTAATGTGCATATAGTTTTAATGACTTTTAAATCAAGTTCCTATTTCTTTTAAAAAAATATTTTTATTGATTTCTAGAGAGGGAGAGGGAGAGAGGGAGAAACACCAATGTGAGAGTGAAACGTGGATCAGCTGCCTCCTGCATTCCCCCTACTGGGGATTGAGCCTGAAACCTGGGCATGTGCCCTGACCAGCAATTGAACAGACAACCCTTCAGTGCATGGGACAACATCCACCCAACTGAGACACACTGGCCAGGGCAAGTTCATATTTCCTTTGATATTCATAACAATATTATAATTTGGTGATTCTCATAGTGTGGTAGAAGGTCCTCTGGGGGGAGGGGTCCCTGAGACTTTTAAAACATGATTTTTCAAAACAATTTTCATAATAATACTAGGACATTATTTTCCTTTTTCACTTCCATTCTCACACCATATAGTGCAATCTTACAGAGGCTACATGGTGATCACAAGAGAATGAACACAGGAGACAAGAGAATCTAGCTGTCTTCTATTAAGACAGATATTAAAGAGATTTGTAAAAGTGTGAAACAATGCCATTCTTTTAATAATCCTTTTGTTTTGGAAAATATTCTTCATAAAACTGCTATTCATGTTAACATGCAATGAGTCTATTATTTTAAATAAATTAATAACCACTGAAAGTTGTTTTGATATAAAAATGGTAAATATTGATAGTTATAATTCAACACAAACAAAAATTCTTTGACGTTCTCAGTAAGTTGTAAAAGTGTAAAGGGAGCCCAAAACCAAAAAGTTTGAGAACTTTTTGCTATAATTATTATCAGCAGCATTTTAAAGATTAAGACACAGTTAAGGAGCTTATTGAACAATTCCATACTTAAATCCAAAATTCTATGCACTTTCCATTACAACAAAAAAAAATCAGAGGAAATGACCTAATTTATACTTATACAGTTTTTTTGAACAGGCATTTTTAAACAGCTCCCAGATGATACTGATTCCCCTAAATTCAGAGAAGCATCATGAAAAGCAAAGGAAACTATATGAAGGGTTTTAGGAAGTGACAATTATATATATGGACATTAAAACCATGATCCTTAAGACCTTCTATGCAGTTGAAAGGCCTGGGTTCTGAAAAGCCAAGTCCTTTCACCTAGCTGGGACTTAGTTTTTCACCACTGCACAATGAAGGTGTCTCTCATGCCTTTCTTTCTGGCTGTCAGTCTGGGTTTCATGCATTCACACCATTGGGAGATTCATCTTTCTGATGAGGGGTCAGCTGTAAACTTAAAAATCATAAATCAGAGCATGTCATTTCTCTGCATAGAAACCTTCAATTGTTTTCCATTGCTTTCCAAATAAAAGTCAAAATCCTTGTCCTGGCTCATAGACCCTACAAGATTTGGCCTGTTTAAGTCTCTGGACGCAGCTTCCTCTTTTTTACTTCAGTCACAGTGGCCTTTTTCCTTTTTCGTGACCTTGCTGAGTTTATTGCCACCAGAAGGTCTTGCCATTTACTATTCCTTCTGCCTCTAATGCTCTTCTTCAGACCTTCATAAGGCTTATTCCTCACTTCTTTCCATCACAGTATCCTGTTTAATTTTCTGTAAGGCACTCACTACCATCTTAGATAATTTTAATTGTTTTGCTTATTTTTATTAAAGTAGTTTTTCAATTACAGTATACATTCTATATTATTTTGTATTAGTTTCACGTGTACAACACAGTGGTTAGTCAATCACATACTTTACAAAATGTTCCCCCGATATGTTCAGTACCCACCTGGCACCATACATAGTTATTCCAGTATTATGGACTCTATTTCCTATGCCGTATTTTACATCCCCATCGGCTGTTCTGTAACTACCAATTTGTACTTCTCAATCTCTTTTTCACCCAGCCCCTCCCCTGCTTCCTGTTGGGCTTCTACACTAGAATGTCACCTACTTGAGAGCAGGGCCACCCTTGGCTGGTAAACCTGTGTCTCTCTCCCAAGGACCCAGGGTAGTGCCTGGCAGGTATTGCCTTTTAGTAAGTGCAGGATGGCTGAACTCCTGTGCCTTAAAAAAACCCTTGGAGCCCTGGCCGGTTTGGCTCAGCGGTTAGAGCCTCGGCCTGCGGTCCAGAGAGACCAGGGTTCGGTTCCTGCTTAGGGCGTGTGCCTCGGTTGCAGTTTGTCCCTGGCCCGATTGGGCTCATGTGGGTGGCAGCCACTCGATGTGTCTCTCTCATGTCCACGTTTCTCTCTCTCTTACTCTCTCTCCCTCCCACTCTATCGGAACAAAAAAAAATGGAAAGATGTCCTCGAGTGAGGATAAAAATAAATAAATAAATAAAAAACACCGGCGGAAACCCCAACTTCCTTCCCGTGCTATGCCAACCCATCCGCTCGAACCCAAGCCTTGGCCCCCCCGCAGCGACGCCCAACGAACCCTAACTCACCCGAGTGGTACCAAGCCTCTTCCCGCTGGAGCGGCTTGACCCGGAAGTGCTCTCGGGAAGGCGAGGCCGCCTCCGGGCTGAAGGAGTACTTCCGGGGTAGCAGGAGCAGCTCGTCGGCGGCTGTGGCGGCGGTGAGGGTAGCATCCGGCTGGGTGCGGGGCTTCCTGGGAGGAGGGTGGTCGGGTGTGGGGTCCCAGAGCTGCCCCCTGTGGCCCGGTTCGCTGGGGTGGGGCAGGAAGTGGGGGCGGCGGTCACTTCGCGCTGGACGCGGAGGCTGTAGAAGCGCTTTGCCCTATGAAGCGCTACGTTTGTGTGGGGAAAACTCTTGGACGAGATGTTGTCAGCTTGGCCCACGTTCACGGTAGCTCTCCCGTTTGGGACTTGTTCTTGTGCGTGGGAGAGCGCATGTTTGTCCGGCTGGAGACAGCCTGTTACTATCGAGAGCAGCGATGTAAACAACCACCGCGACAATACCCACAGCAGATGTTACCCTGGAGCGGGTTTGGGCCGGTCTCCGTCCCAGGCCGCTCGCCCACGCCGTGTCCTGTAATCTTTACGGGAACCCCGCCCGGCAGGTGCTCCTAGCCGCCTTTTACCGGCGGGGAAGGCAGACGCAGGTGGGCGCCCGCGCTTCCCACGGGCACTGCAGTGCGGAGCTGGAAGGAAGTCGCGCCGGCTCCACCGCCCCTGCGCTCAGTTTCGGAGCTAAACCTCCTTCCGTTCTGCTAACTGTGTGGCTGGAAGTTCTTCAAGAAAACGCGGGGAAGTGTATATATATACACACACACACGTGTGTGTGTGTGTTAAGTGTATACATTTTTACTTAACAAAAAAATACGGCTTAGCTGTTTAGTTTTGCTTGTAATCATCCAGGTCTTTGAGTCTACAATTATGAAAATAAAACACTTAGTACAGAATACATGGAAAACTTATAAAAACATTAAATAGTGCAAATTCATGTACTTGGTATTTATTCTCCTCTCCCCCTTTCCTGATAGATGATGAATCTATTGACCAACAGGGATGGTACAGCCATCTAATAATGAAAGTAATAATAACAGCCAGCATCACAAAACCTCTTCCCACCTAGCTCAAATGTCTGGCACATTGTAGATGCTTATTAAATCTTTGTTGCACAAATGCAAGAATAGCAATAACCAGTGTTTAGTATTTTAGAGTATGTCCTTCCAGTCTTTTGTAGAATTATATACATTATTTATGTAGTATGTATACTACATATACTATGTGTAGTATGTATCTATATATACTATGCTATATTTAAAATATACAGTACTATGTGTTGTAATTTGGAGAGAGTATAAAGAGAGTAAAAAGATAGTTTAAAAAGCATATATTCAACTATACAAAACATTAATTGAATTTTATGCAAGAACTGTATACTTTCCTATTAGGCCCTTGGAGTAAGTGGGGCAGAAATTGTATCTTTATTTCTCAATCTCCAGACCTTGGTACCTAGTAGGTATCCAACAAATGTTTGTAAGTTAATGAATGAGTGAATGAATGACTATTTCAGACTTGGTTTGTATGTGTATGGGTAGTTGTATATAGATTTTTTTTTTTCTGTGTGTTTTGGAAATGTATAATGTATGTATATCATATAACCATATGCCCTAGGATCCATGGTGTTGTATAAATCTACCTTTCTAGCCTATGCCTTCTCACTATTCTTCCTGCTATAGTTACTACTGCTGGTATCTGTTCATATTTCATACTGTCACACCTCAGGCCTCTTGAATTCTCTCATTGGCATCTTCATCTGTCAAAATCCTGAGTGCCCTTTATGGCAGGTGTTACAAGTCCAGATGCTTATAGGGGCTAATCAGATCACATAAACCGTCACGTTGTTTTGGAGAGCAACTATTTGACATGAACTAGTTATCAGGTTGAATGTGGGCCTGGTGTTGCGAGATCTTTCAGTTTTACAAGGGAATTTAGAAACCTATTTGTATACAAACTTTGAGTTTTAGATGTTAGCAATTAATATTAAAAAATGTTTAAACACTGTACAGACCAAGTAAAAACATCTTGAGGCTGGATTCAGCATTCAAAAATTCCATTTTGTGACCAGTATTCTATGTTTATTTCAGATAATGTTGTCCATGAATATTATTCTCTGTTTCTAGCAGACTTCTTTCTGTTCTTTTAGTATTTTGTGTATATCTCAATTATAGTGCTCCTTCCAAGCTGCCTTAATTGTTAATATGTCTATCTTTTCTAGAACATTAGGAACATTTTTATGGCGTGGATTGATTCTGCACTTGGTATATATTGGTACAAAATCTGTGCTTGTGCATACCTTAGGTCTCATTGTGTGTGTTTGTGTGTGTGTGTATGTATGCATGAGATATGTTTATTTCTTCCCTGCAAACCAGTATCTGCTCTTTGTAAAATCACCAATAGTATCTTGGCTTTAGTTGTCAAAGAACTATACTTTTGGGAGGAGTTGAATTGGTTAACATTGCTATTCAATAGCTGGTCTGATGTAAATCCTATCTGATATCTTAAATTTCATAGTCTTTCTGAAAAATTATAGTGGGAATGATTAATAAGTAATAACATTTCTATAAATGACACTAAAAATTAATAAATTGTACCTCATTGAAATGAAAAGGTTTTGCTTTGTGAAAGACCCAATAAAAAGATAAGCTACAAACAGATAACATTTAAAACCACATATCTGACCAAAGACTTGAATCTAGAATATAAAAGGAACTCTCAAAACTCAACAGTAAAAAAAAAAAAAATTAATTAGAAAATGAGCAAAAGATACAAATAGGTATTTCACTGAAAAGGACACACAGATGGCAAATGAGCACATGAAAAGATATTTAATACCTTTAGCATTTAGAGAAATGCAACTTAAATCCATGGTGAGATATCATTACACACCTATCAGAATGGCTCAAATAAAATATAATACCACCAAATACTGGTAAGAGTGCAGAGAAACTTGATCACTCATACATTACTGGTGGGAATGCTATTTTGGAAAAGGGTATGACAGTTTTTTATAAAATTAAATAAGTACCAGTGATTGTATTCTTGGTCATTTATTCCAGAGAAATGAAAGCTTATGTTCCCATAAAATTTATACATGAATGTTCATAGCTGTTTTGTTTGTAATGGCCCCAAAGTGGAAACAGCTCAGATGTTTTCCAACAGATAAATGGTGAAACAAACAGATACATTCATACCAAGGGATACTACTACTTGGCAGTAAAAAGAAGATACTGATACACACAACAACTTGGATGGATCTTGAGTGTCTTATGCTGAGTAAAAAAAGTTGATCTCCAAAGGTTACATAGTCTATGATTGCATTTATATAACATCTTGAAATGAAAAAATTATAGAGATGAACAGATCAGTGGTTACTATGAGATGGGAGACGGGTGGAATGTGGCTAAAAAAGCATAACCCAAGGGATCCTCGTGACGGAATGTTTCTGTATCCTAACTGTGGTAATGGTCACAGAAATCTATATATGTGATAAATTTTCATAGAACTAATTACACATGCACAAATTGATGCATATAAAACTGGTGAAATCTGAGGAAGATCAGTCAGTTGTTTCTATCCTGGTTATGATATTATACTATAGTTATACAAATTGTCACCATTGGGGGAAACAGAGTGACGGGTATATTAGATGTCTGTGTATTATTTCTTAAACCTACATGTGAGTCTATGATAAACTCAAAATAAAAGGTTGAAACAAATAATTTATACCAGAAAAACCTATATAATTTTTGGGGGGCTTTTATTTTACCAGGTGATGAACTAATCATGTCGGATAAAGATGATATTGAGGCTCCAGTGATAACTGAAGCAGCCCCCGTCCTTGAAGATGGGAACTCTGAGCCAGCCAAGAATTCTGAGTCAGTTGACCAAAGTATCAAGCCAGAGAATAAACCAGAACCTGTAGTTGCTACTCGGAAAAGACCAGAGTCCAAACCTTCCAGTGACTGTGAGACTTCAGAAGTTCTTCCTGTTCAGGCATCAGAGGCTGCAGGCAAAGTACAGTATCTGTTAAAAATTGAGATAAAAAAATGTTAGGGTTGTGTCTTTTCTGAGCTCAGTGTGGATCCTGGAATAAAATAATATGCTAAATTATTAGCTTTGAGCTTGAGGAATGTCATACAGTAAGATAAGAAAATAATACTGAAATGTACAAATAGGTATGGTCAACAGTTGTATGTTTTTAATGTTTTCAACAAAAAATGTTAGGCTTAAAAATAATTTGGAATTAATGTCAATTTAGAATTGTACCTATTTCTTTCCTTTTATAATCATAAAACAATTTTCTCAGTTTTATAAATGCCTTTATGAGTAGTTGTCTTTGCCGTGTGGTGCTTACATGCAGGTTACATATATCTGTCAGTCAATACATTTATTTAACCTAATAATATATATTTGTTTGCCCATACTTTTGGTTACTAATTAGATGCCTTGTCTGTACACTCTTATTTTCCTCTAATTGTATTATTTTCTTTTGCATTTTGTTTTTCTGGCTACTGGGAAAATTAGGAGCCTGCTTCCAAAGAGGCACCCCAGACGGGATGGGGCTATTGGGGCAGCTGGGGCAAGTCCTTACTTTCCTCAGCCTCAGCTACAGTAGCCACAGTAGGTAAGGCCATCAGTTACTTTATTAATTTTTTGTGTATTTTGCTAAAGATCTGTGTTAAAAGTGATTTTGTTATGTTTGTTTTATAGTTTGAGGATACATTAGTAATGAGTGGCTGATTTATACAGCCACTCAGGTTTGCATCATTTCCTCATTAGAAGGTTGATGTTTAGGTTTTGTTAATATAAAACTATTCTTTGGTGATAATGAATCTTTTTTTTTCTTTTTCTTTTGATAAGGATGCATTCCCAACTATGTAGGATCAAAATAACATATCCTGTGGTTGTAATGAAATTAAAAATCTATGGGTTTGATTTTTGGTTTGTTTTATCAATTTTAGTGACTAATAGCAAGTAATATTTAGATATGAAACTGTTATCATTTTTCTCGTTAGGGCAAGGTATTTCAAATGTCATTGAGAAAGCAGAGACATCTCTTGGAATCCCTAGTCCCAGTGAAATTTCAACTGAGGTTCAGTATGCAACAGGTCAGTATATGGAAATATTAAGAATTGTGGATCAAAATGGAATGGTTGAGCTCATTTTTCAGTAGAAAATTACTGAGTGTCTGATATTCAGGACATAATGGGACAGGTGGGAAAGGGAATTTGGAACCTTTGGCTGACAGGTCTGTGTCTCTTTACCCCTCGTGTCTCTTCACTTCACTTTCTTCATCTATGAAATGGGATGATATTTTTATCTCATAGGACTTTTATAAACCTTAAGTAAATAAGACCATGATTGTAGAATGTAAAAATGGCTTATATTGCTTGGCACAATTAGTAAGAGTCCAATAAGAGGTAGCTGAATTTGAAACGATTGTGGTATGAAAAAATATTTTAATGTGTTAATTTTGGCAGTGTATATTTTTCATGCTGGGATTTTTATGAAGGTGAAGTTTAATTCTGGTGGCTTGCCTTGATCAAATAGAAACCTACTCTCACTTAAGCCTAAAGGACAGGGTTGTAACGGGATCAAGAAGGCCTTGGATCACAAAATAGAAAGCTTTTTAGGGCCCAAATTTGAGTCTTTTTCTGCTTATTGTCCTCTGATCCTGCTTTATGTTGAATCCTAATACAAGTACCCATCAGAGACTATTTGGTATCAGTTATTTCCACTTTTAAATTCCCAGGAGAGAGAATTATGTTGGCCTAAACTTGGGTCACATGTCCTTGGGTCGACTATGGCTAGAAGACAAGATCACATTATAGAACATGCTGTAAAGGACTACATGAATGAATTGGAGACACTGTGCTTAGTGATATCTGCATCAGACTACTTTGGCTGCAGGTAACAGAATATTTGACTAAAAGTCAGTTTCTTTTTCTCACAAGAACTCCAGAATCAGGCTGTTCTAGAGTTAGTGGTAGTGGCTCATTGATGTCAGAGTTCTGTGTTGGCTTCTCTGCAGTTTTCTTTGTTGTCTCTATGGTTGCCAGATAATACTGCAGCTCCAAGTACAGCATTCTAATACAGCTGTGCTCAGAATCAGGCAGTAAGTGCATGGGAAGTGTCGTTTATCCTCCCTTCAAAGAAAGGAAAAGCTTTCCCAAGAGCCCTCAGCATATTTCAAAGACTTCATTGGCTAGAACAGGGTTTCATGTTCTTGCTGTAGCAGCAAGAGATGCTGGGAGAGTGAGTTTTGATCATTTTGATAAATCTCCATGTCAGGAAGTGGGCTTAACAGGAAAGGAAAAGACAGTAGAAATAGCTTTGAATAGGTAAGCAGCAGGGTCTTCCATAGACCTAAAAGATGTCTACCACACAAGTCATGATTTAAGAAGGCCATGGTTAAACTAGAGTGACTCCTGGAAAGAGTGAGCTAGATGGATAGAATTAATGTTTTACAAGAGAAAGTTGATGGCATCGTGGATACTGAATCTGGAAATCTGGGAAGGGGAGATTGGGAGAATATGTTGGTTCTTTTCATGTCTCTGAAGACTACTCTGGAGAAGAAGTTTATTTGTGGCTCATGAAGAGAGAACTAGTACCAGTGGAAATTACATGCACTTAGATTTTCATTTAATAAAGAGTTTTTAGAGTTAAAAAAGTTATAAAGAGAACTTTTCAAAATTAAAATGATAATAAACTACTCCCATTTTCTGAAGTTCCTGAGGAGGGGGGTTAATTCCTCTGCCAAGGATGTTGTAGCTGGGATGTCTCTTTTCAAAAACTTTGAGGTAAGCAAAAGGCCATCAGTGGAAATCATTCAATCATTTTTTAGGGTTGGAGTAGGGGTGGAGTGTTTGATCCAAAGACTATGTTTGTACTTGATAATAATGGGAAAGACCAATAATTGAGGAAATAAGAAGAAATAAATGGTGTGAACTAAGATTCAGACTATTGTTGAGAGTTTACCCTTCAAGTGTCCTGTCTTTGTTCTTTTATGCTTTTGAACCCCACAGTCTTTTGCCATTTGTAAAACTAGGGGAAAATGCCAAATGAATACATTCGTGGGTTGAGGAATAAAGCATGTTTTATGATTGTATTTGCATCAAGTGCTCATTTCCCTTCCTTGTGTAGTTAAGCATTGTCTCTGGCTTCAGGCATCAAAGCTATTGTAGGAAGATTATTTTTCTGAACTCAAGTCAATCTATTAATTTATTCAAAAAAAATTTATTGAGTGTCTACTCATCCAAGGCACTATTCTAAGTGCTGGGGAAATATCAGTGAACAAACCAAACAAGATCTATACTTCCATGGTAAAATGAAATGGAAAAAAGATAAGGTGAAGGGACGAGTGCCTCTCAGGGGCAAAGCACAGTGCTTGGTGTTGTGAGAATTTGGAAATGAGTTAGACATAGAACCTCCCCTCTGTTTTGTATCTAGTGGATGAATCTATTGTTGAGAGAACTAACCAGAGCACAAAGCAGGTGGAGCCAAATATTGTGATTGAGGTTCAAGCAAAGGACTGGGAACTTGGAGCAATTCACTTATGTTTTCATGAAGGAAAATATGTGAGTTAAATTTTGAGAATGGTTATAGTTTTGACAGAGAGGCTGTGGTACAGGGATTTTGAGGTTAAGGGAACTGCATATGTAAAAAATTAAAAAGTGCCTGGCCAGTGTGGCTTAGTGGTTGAGCATCGACCCAGGCACCAAGAGGTTGCCAGTTCGATTCCCAGTCAGGCACATGCCCAGGTTGTGGGCCTGATCCCCACTCGGGGGCATGCAGGAGGCAAGCCAATTGATGTTCTCTCTCATCAATGTTTCTCTCTCTCTCTTTTCCTCTCTCTCTCTAATATCAACAAAGGAAAAAAATTTTTTTAATTAAAATAAAAAAGTGAGAGGGCATGAGGGTGTTTTGGGGAAGAGAGAAACCCAGGATTTGTGTAAGGATGGAGGGAGAGATAAGCCTGAAAAATGGGTTACATGTCATAGAGACTTATTTTTCAAAGAAAATAATATTTTTAAACAAATTGAAAATAATAATGCTCATTATAGGAAAACTTAGTTAAAAAGAAAAAAGTAGAAAGTTAAAAACAAGTGAAAAAAATCAGATTCCATCCAGAAATAACATTTTGGAATGTATCATTCTAGAATTATTTTATAAATGTGAATATACACATTTAGAAAACTGTAATCATACCTACATTTTAAAAAACCTACCTTTCTTTAAAACCTATTACATTTTTTTTTTCTTTATTGATTTTAGAGAGAGAAGAAGGGTAGAGGGGGAGAGAGAGAGAAACATTGATGAGCGAGAATATCGATTGGCTGCTTCCTGCATGCCCCACACTGGGGATCAGGCCCACAACCTGGGCATGTGCCCTGACTGGGAATCGAACTGGTGACCTCTTGCTGCATGGGTTGATGCTCAACCGTTAAACCACACCAGCTGGACTAAAACCCATCACATTTTTATTCTGTGTCAGTAATATGCTTACATCATCATTTTTAATTGCTGCAGGGAACTTCATTTATGTAGGCATGTTTTAAACATATAATTAATCACTTTTTTTTGAAGCATCATGACCATTGTTACACTTAACATTCTTATATCTGTGTCTTGTGCAATTATTTTTTAATAGAAAATCCTAAACATGAAATTACTGAGTTATAGAGTAGTCACAGATAAAATTTAGATGCACTTTGTTGGCTTACTGTCTAAATAACATTCTTTGAAGAGAGAAAAGGGAAGACCTGTTTCCCATTTCTACTCCATGCATGTTAAAAAATGTGGAGGGGTGTCTTTTATATTTATTCACATAATTACCATTATTGGTGCTCGCTATTATTTTTGTGTCGGTCCTGGTTTTCAGCTGATAATCTTTTCCTTCAGCTTTAAGAATTTTCTTTATATTTCTTGTTAGTGCAGGTTTTCGGACAGTTCGGAATTTTCTCAGATTTTGTTTGAAATGTTTTTATTTCCATTTTTGAGGTTATTTTTTTGGACATATTTCAGGATGACAATTTTCTCCCCCTTTTATCATTTTTAAAGTGGCATCCCATTATGTTCTGGCTTACATTCTTTCTGTTGGGACTGGCTGCTTTTACAATTTCTTTACCATTGCTCTTCGGCACTTTTGATTATGTTGTGGTTTTCTTTGTGTTTATTCTGCTGGAGAGTCATCAGACTTCATGGATTTATGAGATTTAATCAGTTTTGGAAATGTTTAGCTATTGTTTCTTCACATATATTTTGGTCCCCTTTTTCTTCCCTGGTATTCCAGTCACACATGCTTTAGACAACTTGGTGGTGTCCCATAACCACTGAGGTTTGTTCATTTTTAAGCCTTTTTTCTCTATGATTCATTTTAAGTAGTTTTTATTGTTGTCTTTAAGTTCACTGGTCTTTTCTTCGGCTTTGTCTAATGCTGTTAAGTCCATTCATTGACTTTTTAATTTCAGATATTGTATTTTCAACTCTAGAAATGTCATTTGTTTCTTTTTTATATCTTCTATTTCTCACTTCCTTGTCTGTTAATTCTATCATCTGCTATTTTTTACTTGAGAACCTGCTGTGTTGTACTATGTTTTTTCTTATACATGTATACATATGATAAAGTTTAATTCATAAATTAGACACAGTTCATCTCTGTTATTTGAGTCTGTTTCTATTGAGCAATTCTTTTTCTTGGTTATAGATCCTAATTTTCATTGAATTGAGTGCTGGACGTTATAAATGTTACATTGTTGAGTAGATTTTGTTTTAAAGGGGGTGAGTTTTTTTGGCAGGCAGTGAAGATATTTGTAGTTTAGATTGATCCTTTTAAAGTTTAGGGTGATTCTAGAGCAGCCATTACTCTTAAGTGGTAGTTGAGTGCTACTACTAAGGCCTCTGCTCTGATTCGTCTGAAGTCTCTACCTAATTCGTAGATGTTTAACTAGATCTCTCTAGTTAAACTCTGATTGGTCAGAAGTCAAATGTTCTGTAGCCTAGCATGAACTGTGGGCATCGTTTGGTTTATAGCTCCATGGTAGTTTTTGCCCATATCGTGGAGTCTCCCAGTACCTGAACAGCCAAAGTATTTAGCTAGAGACTCAAGAGTACTCCTGTGTAGATTCCTGGAACTCCTTACCTCTGTAGCTCCCTCTTTTCCCATATTCTGACCTGCAAATTCCAGTTGCTTCAGCCTTCATAGACTCCAGTCTTTCTGTCTTATACTCAGTGAGACTGCCATGCTGTGCTTGGGTTTCCCCTCCTTGTGCTGTGGTCTGGAAAGTCAAGCCAATCATAGGATTCCCTTTATTTGTTTCTCTTCTCTCTTGTATTATAGCCCTGTACTATCTGTTGTCCAGTGTCTGTAGGCAGTTATTTTTTATATTTGTCCTGTTTTCTAGATGCTGTTGTTGCAGGGCAAGTGCAATACTAGTTAACTTATCAAAGCTGGAAGTGGAAGTCCTCCCTATAATAGTTAATTAATTGTTTATCTCTTATTAGAGATTTTGAAGTTATTAAAATAGAGAGATTTTTTTTCAATGAAACATGTTCATCTTTGTAATGCATGTCTGGTTTCTATAAATAAGCATAATTATTAGGATAAAATTTTAAATCGACGATTTAAAAAGCCAGGTTTATTGAGCTATAATTTATATACAGTAAAGTTTACTCTTTTTAGGTGTATAGTTTTACATGTTTTGACAAGCATACAGTCCTATTTACACTGTATATACAGTCCATTGTGATTATACAGATAGAGAATATTTTCTATATCTATATAGGCAATCAAGATGCAAGAATATTTTCATTATCCCCCCAAAGTCCTCTCATGCCTACACCTACTGTCAGCTCTTGATGACCAGAGATCTCTTTCTGACTGAATAGTTTACTTTGTCCATAAGGTCCTGTAAATGGAGTCATACAGTAGTCTGTTGTAAAGACTGGATTTTATTTCTGAAATTAAAATGAAAAAAGCTATCTTACCTTTCATTTAAAAATAGGCAAATAGTTTAATACAACAAAAAGCACTAATACCTTGTATGTGGGAAGTAGGGTCTAATTTTTAAAAAATTCACATAGGTGCTAACAAAGCATAATAATCTATGGACCATCTCTTCATGTTTACACATCTTTCCCTCCTGTAGGAGAGACAAATGCCAAAGAGAATGAAAACTCCTTTCCAATGACAGGAGCATTTGGTGTATTCTCAACCATCTCTACTGCTGTTCAGAGCACAGTGAGTATCAAGTACAAGGTGGCCTGCTCCTTTCCATGATAATAATAGATTTTTGTCTCTTTCTCCCTCTTCCTTGAAAAGCCATGGGGACTAATTACTCTATGGGATTCCAGATTGCTGAAGATCAATTACTTTAGGGGTACAGTAAGAGCTACTTGAAAACTTTCTTTAAAGGAATAAAGGAGGGACCAGGAGGTGAAATATAACAGAGAGGCAGTATGTGGTAATAATGAATAGACTAGAAGTTCTTAGTTTGGTGGTCCTAGAAAATTACGCTTTATAAAAATATTTTTCTCATAATTGCATCTTTTAGGGAAAAAGGAAATATGATTTTTATGATGGATACTTGTAAGACTATATATGATTAGAAATTTTTTTAAAATATTTTTTTATTGATTCTTAGAGAGAAAGAGAGAAGGAGGGAGAGAGAGAAATATTGATGTGAGAGTGATATGTCCATCAGCTGTTTCCTGCATGCCCCCACCGGGGATTAAGCCCACAATTTAGGCATATGCCCTGACTGGGAATCAAACCGGCAACCTTTTGGTGCATAGGACGAGGCCCAACCAACTGAGCCACACTGGCCAGGGCTAGACACATTTTTAAATGGGTAATGTAAGAAGCTTACTACTTTTCCTATATGAAGATAGATAGCTAGTACTTTTTAATTTTAACTTTTTATTGAAATATAACACATATAAAGAAAAGTGAAGTCCTGAGTGTTCACTTTGCATTGTCACAGAATGAACACATTCAGACTAAGAATCAACATGATGGTACATCAAATGTTCCCCTTGTGCCATCTCCCAGTCATCTGTGCCTCCTCCTGCCTACCAAGACAATCACATTCCTGACTTCAACCATCATAGATTAATTTTGCTTGCTGTTAAACTTTATATAAATGGAATCATATAGAGTGTACTTTGTTGTATCCGGCTTCTTTCACTCAATATTAAGTTTGTATGATTTATCCATGGTGAAGTTTGCATGGTATGTTCTCTTTTCTTTGCTGTGTTCCATTGTGTGACTGTGTCACATTTATTCATACCACAGTTGATAAGTGTTGGGATAGTTGCTAATTTTTAGCTTTTATAAAAGGCTGCTATGAGCATCCTTGTCTATCTTTTGATAAACCTCTCTACAAATTTCTGTTGATTATGTAACCATGGGTGGAATTTCTGGTTCATAGCATATACATACATAGCTTCAGCTGTAGTAGATAATGACAGTTTTCCAAAGTGGTTATACCAATTTAAATTCTCACAAGCAGTGTATGATTGTTTCAGTTGCTCTACATTCTTGCCAGTGTTTGGTATTGTAAGCCACTATTTTATATAGTCAAAATATGGAGGTTTCTTTTTTCAATATTATTGTAATCAGGTTGCATGTGTTTCCTAGGGAAAGACCGTTATCAGTGGGGGTTTGGATGCCTTGGAATTCATCGGGAAAAAGACAATGGATGTAATAGCAGAAGGAGATCCTGGATTTAAAAGAACCAAGGATCTGATGCACCGGAATTCTACACTATCTCAGGTACTGCCTCTACCTGTTTGTTTCCTGTTCCTGTTTTTTTTTTACTTTCTTTATTTTTTTACTAATTAATTTTTGTTACAGATGTTTCTCGTTTTTCTCCCACTGATTCCCCGCTCCCTCACCCTCCCTGCCCTGTCCCCAGTTTTGTTGTCCATGTCCATTGCCCATGCACACATGCATATGAGTTCTGTGGTTTATCTCTCCCCCACTACCCCCTCTTCTGGAAATTGTTAGTCTGTACCCCACTTCCACGTCTCTGGGACTACCCCATTCCTCAGACTGTTATGTTCATTATATTCCACAAATAAGTGAGATCATATGATACTTGTCTTTCTCTGTTTGGCTTGTTTCACTTAGAATAATACTTTCCAGGTCCCTCCATGTGGTCTCAAAGGATAAGAGATCTTTCCTTCTTACAGCTGCGTAGTACTCCATTGTGTATATGTACCACCGCTTTTTTATCCATTCGTCTACTGGTGGACACTTGGGCTGTTTCCAGATCTTAGCTATTGTAAATAATGCTGCTATGAACATGGGGGTACATATATTCTTTCTGATTGGTGTTTCAGGTTTCTTAGGGTATATTCCTAGAAGTGGGATCACTGGGTCAAATGGAAGTTCAATTTGTAATTTTTTGAGGTAACACCATATTGTTTTCCATATTGGCTATACCAGTCTGCATTCCCACCAGCAGTGTACTAGAGTCCCCTTTCCTCCACACCCTCACCAACCTTGTTGTTTGATGATTTGTTGATGGCAGCCATTCTGACAGGTGTGAGGTGATACCTCATTGTTGTTTTAATTTGCATCTCTCTGATGATTAGTGATGTTGAGCATTTCTTCATATATCTCTTAGCCATTTGTATGTCCTGTTTGGAGAAGTGTCTATTTAGTTCCTCTGCCCATTTTTTAATTGGGTTCGTTGTCTTCCTTTTGTGGAGTTGTATGAGCACTCTATATATATTGGAAATTAACCCCTTATCTGATATATCATTGGCAATTATGCTCTCCCATACAGTGGGTAGCCTTTCCGTTTTGATGATTGTATCTTTCGCTGTGCAGAAGCTTTTGAGTTTGATGTAGTCCCATGTGTTCATTTTCTCCTTTGTTTCTATTGCCTTAGGTGATGTATCAGTGAAAATTCTGCTGCGTATGATGTCTGAAATTTTGTTGCCTACAGTTTCTTCTAGGATTTTTATGGATTCATGAGTCACACTTAAGTCTTTTATCCATTTTGAGTTTATTCTTGTGTAGGGTGTAAGTTGATGGTTTAGTTTCATTTTTCTGCATGTAGCTGTCCAATTTTCCCAGCACCATTTATTAAAGAGGCTGTCCTTACTCCACTGTATGCTCTTGTCACCTTTGTCAAATATTAATTGAGCATATTGCCTTGGGTCCATTTCTGGGTTCTCTGTTCTGTTCCACTGTTCTTGTGCAAGTACCAGGCTGTTTTGATTACAGTGGCCTTGTAGTATAACCTGAAATCTGGTATTGTGATCCCTCCAACTTTGTTCTTCTTTTTCAAGATTGCTGTGGCTATTCAAGGTCTTTTTTGGTTCCATATGAACTTTTGAAGTACTTGTTCTAATTCTGTGAAGTATGTTGTTGATATTTTGATGGGGATTGCATTGAATCTATAGATTGCTTTGGGTAATATGGACATTTTAATTATGTTAATTCTTCCAATCCATGAACAGGGTATGTGCTTCCACTTTTTTATATCTTCCTCTATTTCTTTTTTCAATAACCTGTAGTTTTCTGTGAATAGGTTCTTTATTTCTTTGGTTAAGTTTATTCCTAGGTATCTTAATTTTTTTGCCGCAATGGTAAATGGGATTGTTTTCTTAGTTTCTCTTTCTGTGAGTTCATCATTGGTGTATAAGAATGCCATCAATTTCTTGATATTAATTTTGTATCCTGCTACTTTTCCAAATTCATTTATTAAGTCTAGTAAATTTTTGATGGAGTCTTTGGGATTTTCTACGTATAGTATCATGTCATCTGCGAGTAATGACAGTTTCACTTCCTCCTTTCCAATTTGGATCCTTTTTATTTTTTCTTCCTGTCTGATTGCTGTGGCTAAGCGAAAGTGGGCATCCTTCCCTTGTTCCTGTTCTTAAGAGAAATGGTTTTCGTTTTTGCCCATTGAGTATGATGTTGGCTGTAGGTCTTTCATATATGGCCTTTATTCTGTCGAAATATGATCCCTCTATTCCCACATTGCTGAGCGTTTTTATCAGAAATGGATGCTGGATTTTGTCGAAGGCTTTTTTCTGCATCTATTGATATGATCATGTGGTTTTTATTCTTCATTTTATTTATGTGGTGTATCATGTTTATTGATTTGCGAATATTGTAGCAGCCTTGCATCCCTGGGATGATTCCCACTTGGTCATGGTGGATAATTTTTTTGGTGTATTGCTGGATCTGATTTGATAGTATTTTGTTCAGGATTTTGGCATCTGTGTTCATCAGGGATATTGGCCTGTAGTTTTCTTTCTTTGTAGTGTCTTTTTCTGGTTTTGGAATTAGAATTATGCTGGCTTCATAAAAGGAGTTTGGAAGTCTTCCTTCTTCTTGAATTTTTTCAAATAGTTTGAGGAGAATGGGTGTTAGTTCTTCTTTGAATGTTCGGTAAAACTCCCCAGTGAAGCCATCCGGGCCTGGGCTTTTGTTTGCTGGGAGAGTCTTGATTACCTCTTCAATTTCCTTAGTTGTTCTTGGTCTGTTCAAGTTTTTTATCTCTTCCCGGTCCAGTTTTGGGAGACTATGAGTTTCTGGAAATTTGTCCATTTCGCACAGATTGTCGAATTTGTTGCCATATAATTGTTCATAGTAGTTAACGATCTTTTGTATTTCTGTGGTGTCAGTTGTTACTTCTCTTTCATTTCTGATTTTGTGTATTTGGGTTCTCTCTCTTCGTTTCTTGGTGAGTCTAGCTAAGGGTCCATCAATCTTGTCTATTTTTTCGAAAAACCAGCTCTTTGTTTCATTGATCCTTTGAATTGTTTTTTTTTTTGGTCTCTATGTTGTTTATTTCTGCTCAGATCTTTACTATTTCTTTCCTTCTACTTGCTCTGGGGTTTTCTTTTTGTTTGCTCTCTAGTTCTTTAAGTTGTGAGGTTAGATAGTCTATTAGAGATTTTTCTTGTTTTTTTGAGGTAGGCCTGTAATGCTATGAACTTCCCTCTCAGAACTGCTTTCGCTGCATCCCATAGATTTTGTGTTGTTGTGTCTTCATTTTCATTGGTTTCCATGAAGTTTTTGATTTCTTCCTTTATCTCCTCGGTGACCCATTCATTGTTTAATAATATGCTATTTAGCTTCCATGTGTTCAAATGTCTTTGTATGTTCTTCTTGAAATTGATTTCTAGTTTCATGCCATTGTTATCTGAGAAGATGCTTGATCTGATTTCAGTCTTCTTGAACTTGTAGAAACTTAGTTTGTGCCCTTACATGTGGTTTATCCTTGTGAATGTCCCATGTGCACTTGAGAAGAATGTGAATTCTGTAGTTTTGGGGTGTAATTCTCTGTAGATATCTATTAAATCCATTTGGTCTAGTGCTTCATTTAGAGTCTGTGTTTCCTTGCTAAGTTGTTGTCTAGAGGATCTATCCAGTAATGTCAGCGGGGTGTTGAAGTCCCCTCTTATGATTGTATTGCTATCGATTTCTCTTTTGAAGTCCTCCAGAAGATTTTTAATATATTTTGGTGCTCCTATATTGGGTGCATATATGTTTATCAAGGTTATATCTTCCTGTTGGATAGATCCTTTCAATATTATGTAGTGGCCTTCTTTGTCTTTAGTTATGGCCTTCATTTTGAAATCTATTTGATCAGATATGAGTGTTGCTACCCCAGCTTTTTTTTCCTTTCCGCGTGCTTGGAAGGTTTTTTTCCATCCCTTCACTTTCAGCCTATGTGAGTCTTTTGTTGTGAGGTGGATCTCTTTAAAGCAACATATAGATGAGTCATGTTTTCTTATCCAATCAGCTGTTCTGTGTCTTTTTATGGGAGCATTCAATCCATTTACATTTAAGGTGATTATTGATATGTACTTATTTATTGCCATTTTTGTTTAGTGTGGTTCTATTTTTCTTCCCATTTCTCCTGCTAATTACAGCAGTCCTTTTAGCATTTCCTGCAGTGCTGGTTTGGTGCTAATGTATTCCCTTAGCCTTTTTTTGTCTGGGAAGCTCTTTATTTGACCTTCCATTTTGAATGATAGCCTTGCTGGGTAGAGTAGTCTTGGATTCAGATCCTTGTTTTTCATGACCTTGATTACTTCATGCCACTCCCTTCTGGCCTGTAGTGTTTCTTGTGAGAAGTCAGCTGAGAGCCTTATGGGGTTTCCTTTGTAGGTAAACTGTTGCTTATCTCTTGCTGCTTTTAGGATTCTCTCTTTGTCTTTAATTTTTGGCATTTTGATTACTGTGTGTCTTGGTGTGGGCCTGTTTGGGTTCTTCTTACTTGGGGCTCTCTGTGCTTCTTGAACTTGAATGCCTTCTTCCTTCACCAAATTAGGGAAGTCTTCTTTCACTATTTCTTTGAATATATTCTCCTACCCTTACTCATTTTCTTCTTCGGGGACTCCTATGATGTGAATATTTTTACGTTTCCAGTTGTCCCACAGTTCTCTTAAGCTGTCTTCCTGTTTTTTAATCGTTTTTTTCCTTTTGGTTTTCTGATTGGTTGATTTTTTCTACTCTATCTTCTAATTCACTGATCTGGTCCTCAGCTTTCTCTACTCTGCTATTTAGACTTTCCAATGTGTTTTTTATTTCTGATATGTCATTCTTCATTTCTTCTTGGTGGTTTTTAATTTCCAACTGGTTGATTTTCAACATTTCTGTGTGTTTACTCATGGTGCTCATGTCCTTACACATGCTGTTTTGCTTCCTCAAGATCATGGCTCTGAATTCTAGTTCTGTTAACTTGCTTAAGTGCACTTTCATTTGGCTTTTGTTTCTGTTTTTCACCATTTTGGCTATCACAGTGGGCTTTGGAGTCTGCCAAATTTTCCCTGTGGCTGTTGGTGTTCTGCTGTTTGTGGCTTCCTCTCCTGGGTTTGGATGAGGCAGGGAGGACCTGCTGTAAACACCACTGTCAAGTCTTAACTTTCCTGGTTAGAGTTGCTATCCCAGGGAATGGTAGTTATCCTCTAGCTTTTTTGCCTGGAGGCTATTAGTAGTGGTCACCTAAAGAACCTTGGTTTCTGTGTTGACTGAAAAACTTTCTCAGGTGCTCAGTGTAAGAGGATTTCCAGAGGGTGTGGCAGATGCTGGTTATAATGGGCCTCAATTAGCATTTCAATGGCGTCCCGGTGGGGTTGAATCTCTGAGGGAGGGGCCGCCCGCCTCTCCCCAGGGCCCTGGGAAGGAGTAAGATGACCACAGTCCTGCATGGCTGCACTGAGCAAAAGCTCTGAGCATCCTCCAAATCCCAAGTGTCCCCACACAGTTCCAGTTCAGTCTGCCTTCCCTCTGTCAGAGCCCAAGGTGAGTGCTGCTGCCAATTTAGCCTCTGTCCGGGCTCTGCGTCGTGGATCTGCCTGGGACTTTAACCCGAGGGCGCTGCTCCCAGCTAAGGGGGGCCGAGGCTGCGGCCCCAGCCAAGGGCGTAGCACCCAGCCAAGGCTGCCGCAGGACCCAGCCGAAGCAGCTGCTGGTCCCAGCTGAGGCCACAGGACCCACCTGAGGGCGCAGCTTCCAGCTGAGGCCACTGGACCCAACCAACGGCCTAGCACCCAGCCGAGGTCGCAGGACCCAGCCAAGGCGGCTGCTGGTCCCAGCTGAAGCCACAGGACCCAGCCAAGGGCACAGCTTCGAGCCAAGTTCCCCTGGTCCCAGCTGAGTCCGCTGGTCCCAGCCCAGGCTGCTGCAGACCATGGGCTCCCGGCCCCTCTCGCATCATCACAAGCCTACCAGGATTGAGTCAGTGTCCCTGGTTATGTGGTCCTCCAAGCTGCCTTTCGGTTGCCCCTTCCTGACGATTTGTCTTTATTTTCGTTGTAATTCCAATTTGGTCCTGGGAGATGGTCTGTGTAGCTCCATTCACTCTGCCGCCATTTTTTTCCTCTCTCCTGTTTCTGTTTTGATCTCTTTTTTTGCCTGTGGTAACTTGGGGTATTGTTAGCATTTTCTTTTGAATAATTTTTAATGATTTTTTAATTAAGGCTTTTTTTTTTTTTTCAATGGGGTTAGGAGGAAAGGGAGACCTCTAAAGCTTAGAAAACTACCCAGTTCTTTTTTTCCCTCTCTTTCCTTTCTGCAGGAACTTCCTGTCAGTGCAGTGTAAGATGCCAAGCCCTTTCAGAGTTGTTTATTAGATTAATGTTAAAACTACTTTCAGAGAAATACCTGGTTCCTTGGGTGTTACTTACTTTGTCTAGAATCACGTTATTTGTGATCGTTTTCCCCCTGTTGCTCCTGAGCGTATCAGATTTGAATCACATGCCAAGAACGGAAGGGCAGTGTGCTGTACTGTTACCCGTCTCAGCTTCGCTTCCCTCCGTTCTCAAAACTCACCCTTGAGCTCTCATTACTTACTGCAGTGTAATGCCTCTATCTCTTTTTCAGGTTTTACGAGAAGCAAAGGAGAAAGAAGAGCAGTGGACCACAAATGAGGTTACTATGGAAACGGACAAGAAAACTCATTATGGGCTACTGTTTGATGAATTTCAAGGCCTTTCACATCTAGAAGCTCTGGAGATGCTTTCCCGAGAAAGTGAAGTAAAGGTAATTTTAAACCAAAAATTTCAACTGGAATAGTCTCCAAGCAAAGGAATGTTGCATAGTTTCTTTTCTTTTTGTACAGTTGGAAGATGAAATGTATTTCAGATGGAGGCTTGAGACTCAGACTACCAGGCCAAAACAAACTGAAAACTAACATTTGAACTAATTGCTGGAAACAGAATGAGTCAAGTGTTATTTCTCTAAATTTAAATAAAAAAGGAGAGATTAACAAAGAAATCTTAATAGCACATTTGTTATTTTTCTTCACGTTGGTCTTTTTTTTTAGTTTCTTTGGCTTGAACTGCCAATTTGGATACAGTTACCTGTTAGCTTTTAATTAATTCAAGATTATTTCATTTCCATACATTTCTGTCTTACATTATTTTTGGAAGTACGAATTCTACCTTTCTGTAATGACCTGTCTTTTGTGTTAAGGTTCTTAAGGAGTAGATTATTTTGGCTGGTGAGCTCATAATTTTTATTTTAATTTGATCTATAGCCTCTTCTCCATTTGAGAATGTTTTTCTTTCTTTCATACTCCCACAACTTATTATTTTATATTATATTGATTCAGGTGAAATCTATTCTTAATTCTTTAAGTGGAGAAGAATTAGAGACTCTAAAACTTGAATTGGAGCACCTGAAAGAAGCATTTTCCCTAGCAGAGTTCTCTGAGGAAGAGGAAGAAGAGAAAAAAGGTAATATGAAAACCCAGCATCTGAGTGGGAAGGATGTAGTGTGTTTGTATGCACTGTATTGCCCTTAAAATAAGTGATTTTCTCTCCAATTACACGAGACTGATTTTACCTTTTTTACTGAGAATTTTCATGCAAATTCTCTGCAGCCTTGCCCCCAACTAGGCATTGTATGGATTCAGATTTATTCCTTGCATCCACAGAATTTTGAGCTTAGCAGGGGAAACAAAATGCCTGCCTAAGAGTCAGGTTTTAGATTTTTACACAGTAAAATATGATTGGGAGTCATTTTTATGAGTTATATTAGTTATGGTTGTATTATTTAGTGAGATTAGCTTTTCCCAAAACCACATTGTACCTGGGATCACTAAACCATTTGAATTCTCTTTCTTGAATGAGAAGAGCAAGACAAAAGAATAGCAGATGGAGAGAGAAGAGCCAAGATAGATTTTTTTTCGTAAGGATTTTGGAGAAAAAGCTGCGATGAAGCAGTAATAATTTGCTCTGATAAACCATGAAGTGATGTCTAAGAAAGACTTATACAGATGGTTAGTGCTAGAAGATTTCTGGGTACAAGAGTTCTCTCTGCTGCATCCGTGGTACACAGAAAGAAGCCTTGGGGTGGGCTTCAAAAGGGATATTGGATAGAATTTAGATGAGTAGAGATGAAAGGGCATTTTCTGCCATTTGTTCATATGTGTGGATTTTTTTTATGTTGACTCACCTATTTGCATGTATGTTTCCCAAGTATGAGTATTTCATGTTCCTCATCGTATCCCAGCAGGCTTATTTCAACAGCTTCTTCATCATCCGTCCAACATTCTGGAATCCCTTTTTCTCTTCCTTTCTTTTTATCCACCATTATTTTTTACCTGGATCCTGGATTATTGCCTTAGCTTTCCTGCCTTCCTTCATGTTCCCCTTTCAATCCATACCATCACCCTCAGGAGCCAAAGTGATCTTCTAAAATTTAAATTGTATATATCTGTCTCTGTTTAAAATCATTCAGTGGCTCCCCATTCCCTTAATAAAAAGTTTGAATTCCTCACCATGGTTTATATAAGGCCCTGTATTACCTGTATCCTACCTACCTTTGTAGCTTCATTTTTACCCCTCTTCTTTCTCTTATATTAAGACACTCTTAACTATATTAAACTTCTCACCATGCTTTTTAAAAAATATATATAGTTTATTGCTTTTTTAGAGAGAGAGGAAGGGAGAGAGAGATAGAAACATTGATGTGAGAGAAACACATCAATTGGCTGCCTCCTGCATGTCCCCCGCTGGCAGTCAACCTTACAGCCCAGGCATGTTCTTGGATTGGGAATCAAACCAGGACCTCTCAGTCCATGGGATGATGCTCAGTTCACTGAGCCACACCAGCTGGGCTCACCATGCTTTCTTTCACCGTGGATATCTTTGTACTTGTTTTCTCTGCCTGAAACTCTTCCCATTCTCTTGATTAACTGTACTCTTTTTTTTTTCTTTGTCCTAACTTAAATTCCACTTGGAGACACATGCATAGTATCTGCTTAGGATTCTGCCTTCACTAGTTCTCCATTTATACTTCTGGGATGTAATACAAAGAGTTTGGGATTTGGGCTGGGGGTAGAAAGGCCAAAGTTTGACTCCTAATATGTTATGAGATTTATAGGAAATAAATTAACCTCTTCAAGCCCTAGTTCCTTCATCTCTAAAATGGGATAATGACACTATTTTTATAAGTCCCTTGAAAGAATTCATTGATATTCACAGGATTCTGTAAGCACTAAAGCATCATGCTCATTTTACTGCTATTATTATGCTGCTATTATTACTACTGCTACTGCCACTTCCATTCTGCTTCTTGTCGTCCTTGTGCCCCACCCTTCCTGTCCCCATGATCCTCACCTGTCTGTCTGCAGTGTTTTACATGGGATTTGTTTTTCTTTTTTAGAGGATGACGACTTTACCAAAGAGATAACAGAGCTATTTTCCCAGCTACATGTCTCCTCCAAACCAGAGAAACTTGCCAGGGTAAGGGACTACTTCTTGGTGATTCTTATTTATTTTTTTACCTGTATGGATTTAGTGGGTAAAGAAAGTAAAATTATAAATTCCTGGCAAGGATGTCACTAAAATCGAAGATGTATTCTGAGTTCTACACCTTTTGCCTGCCCTTTGCTCTCACGGGTTAGCATGCTGAACTCACATCTGCATCCCCCCGCCCCGCTTCTCCTGGAACACACACATCTGCCATCCTTTCCTGTTTTCATTTGGAATGCTTTGATTGTCTGAAAGCTTAAATTAGGTCACAGAATTTGTCAGCTAAAGTTGGCAGTGCTCACCAGCCTTCATGATACCAATGGGCTAGTCTCTATTGAGATTTTAATTGTTCACAGGGCTCTGAATGTTTTAGAGGTAATGGGAGGTGGCCCCTGCCCTTAGGAAGCTGGAGGTTGCCATTTCCTAGAACCCAGTGATTAAGATAATGGCCATTTAGTTTGTGTAAATGAGAGAGTCCATGGCCTAGGCCTTGGTCTTAGATGGTGGTACTTGAGCTGTCTTTATACATCTGGAACATGGAGGGACGTGAGTCAGAGTTCAGAGTGCATAGGGAGGGCCTGTTTCCATAGCAGTACCCACATAGCACATATGCCAGTGTCAGCTCATGGGACACTATTTACTGGGTCTTGGGCTGCTTGCTGCTTCTTCACCCTCTTTTCTCAATCTCCAGAAACATTTCAGGACCAGTTAGCAGCTGTACACATTGCTTCCTGGCCAGGGAGAGTTGATAGCCCCACCTATTGATCCTTGAAGGCTCAACTCCAATACTGTATCTGTAATAAAACCTGTGATTCTTTCAGTTCTGAAATATTCTCAAAGTCTCTGGATTCCTCTTGCCTGATTACAGCTCTGAACACATTTTGTCTATAAGTCACTCACGTGGATGCCTTCATTTAATGACAATAAACATTTCCTTAGAAACCAGGACTCTCTTAAATTGCAAATGACAGAAACTCAAATCAGACTGGCTTAAGCAAAAAGGGGCATATATTAGCTCAAGAAACTCTAAAATCAAGAGGCAAGACTGGCTTCAGGCATGGATCTCCACCCAGAAGCCTGCCTCTTCTCTATCTCTTTACTCTGCTTTTTCCTGTTTGGCTCCATTCTTAGGGAATCTTTTCCACCTGGTGGTAAGATGACTATTGGAAGCCTCGGGGTAACTTGTGCCAGTTGAGTAACTCCAACAGAAAGAAGACTTCCCTTTCCCAGTAATTTTATCGAATGTCCTGAGACTGATGCCCATTGACTTGGCTTAGGTCACTTTTTCATCCAAGAACTAATAATCACTGTATGGACTGGGGGATTAATACTCTTAGTAGCTAAACCTGAGTTGTTTGTCAACCCTTGGAGCCAGAGGATAAAAGCAACCCCATCTACACCAGGTGAGCTGAGAAAAATCTAGGGCCTACTACCGAAATAAAGGAGATGTGGAAGCTGGCTAGGGAAAAACAGTAGATGTTCTCCATAGTATGCCACGCACTGGGTGTGCATATCTGGCCTAGACACTCTGCAACTACCCTATAATAATGTAGTTTATTAAGGAGATAGTCACATAGTAAATTTCAGTGTATTTTGGTTAGTACTAAGTTGAAAGAGTGCTCAGGGACTGTGAACATACAAAGAAGAGTTGTTTAGATGCCCAGTCTCCCGGAAGACCTTCTAATGGTACCTGGAAGAGACAATGTTTGAGTGAAGGATTAAAAGAAAATTAAGAACTGTTCTGATTTAGGAGAAAAAAAATAGTGGGAAGGGCATTTTGAACTAGGGTATAGATGAACAAAGAAGACAACATAGGTTATTGTGGAAACTGGTAAGAGATGAATGAAGCTGGAAGTTCATGGGAACTTCTTACAATCATGTGAAAGAGTGTGATCTAGTTGATGGGGAGCCATCGAAGGGAAGAGGAATGATCAGCTCTGGGCTTAGGTAGATTACTGGTAGCATAATGGAAGATGGATTTAAGATGAGCCAGATCAAAGCAGGGAGACCAATCAGAGTGCTATTGCCACGAAGTGGTTCTGAAAGGTGGTAATAGAGAGGAAGAGGAGGGGCTAATTGGAAAAATATGAAGGGTAAAATCAGACCATCTTGGTAATTGATTGGGAAGGGAAGAATCTAGGATGGCTCACATATTTTGGCCCAGGTGTCTGATATATAGTTGTTCCTCTAAAGCTCTGGGGAATAAGAGAGGGTTAAAATTTTTGGGAGAGAAAGGCAATTCAAATTTTGTACATGTTATATATGAGATGCCTATGGAATATCCTGATACATATGTCCAGTAGGCAGTTGGAATATGTTGTTTTCAGGAGAGGTCAGTGCTGGAAATAAGGATTTAGGAGTCAGCAGCAGGTAGGAATAGTTAAAATCACCGCAGTAGGATGAGTAGAGAGGAGAGGGAGTAGGATGAGACAAGAGAGCCAAGGCTAGAACTCCAAGTAATACTGGTGTTTAAGGGACTGCAGAGGAGGTCAGTACATACAGGAGACTGAGGAGGAATGCTCATAAGGGTGGGGGAGAACCAGAAGAGAGTATATTACAAAAGTTAAAGAAAACTAGAAACATCCCAAAGGTCCATCATCAGAATGGGTAAATTGTGGTGTATGTATAAAATGAAATACTGCACAGCAATAAAAAAGCATGAATTGCTGATACATGCACAACTATGTGAATAAATCTAACAGGCAGTATGTTGTGCATAAGAAACCAGACACAAATTAGAACCTACTTCTGATCCCATTTATATGCATTTAAGAGCAGATTACCTTTGGGTAGAGGTAAAGGGACTCTGTTTGATCAGTACTGACTACGAAGGGGTATGGGGGACCTGCTATGGTGCTGGGAATGTCCTTTATTTTGATCTGGGTCACAGATACATAGGCATATACACATGTAAACATCTCTTGAGCTGTTCTCTGAAGATTTGTGCACTTTATGTAAGTTATACCTCAGTTTAAAAAAAAGCCAAAAGATTTGAGAATTCAAGAAGGCATGAGTGGACAGCAGTGTTAAGTGTTGTAGAGAGTTCTAGTAAGTCTAGTACTGAAAAGCTAGATGTTATATTCAGATGAGGACAAAAGCACTGATTTCCATGATGCTAACGTGTTCTTTGTCATTGCACAGTAATCTTGGTGAGCTGAGTTGAATTGTTGGTGGTCAGTAATCTTTTTCTTATTTAGGCAAGAAATACAGCCTATGAATGGATCAGGACATCTCTGGAGAAGCCATTAGAAGAGAAGGAAGAAGGAGAAAAACAGTTGGAAGGAGAAACAACTGAGCAAATCAATAAAAATTCAATAGAGGTAACCAAAGTAAATAAGCTCTTTTTTTTTTTTTAAAGATTTGAGATGTAGGGATATTGCAATTTGGGAACTAAGTACTTTGTATTTTGTTGCACTCCCATCTATAACTTCTACCTTGTGTTTCAAGATTGCAACATCTTAGTTCCAGACTATGAGATGTAAAGAAAGAGACAAAGGGTACATATGTGGTATCATGAGGGTTTCCAGAAGCTACCACAAGACACTTTATCTAAATCTTTTGGTGAAAACTTAATTACATGGTCACATCTGACTACAGGGCAGCCTCCGTTTTTGCAGCTATAAGTCTAGTTGTAAACTTATATTACTATTATGGAAGAAGAGGTTTACTAACAGCGGGTAGCTATTAGTTTCTGTTGCTTTCAAGATATTGAATCCCTCAGTATGGAAGAAGTAAGGTGATGTCATTTCCCCTGAGATTAAAAAAATACACACCTGTGCTTTGTTTTGTTTTTTTTTTTCATCCAGGATATCCATGCATTTGCAATCCGGAGCCTAGCAGAACTGACTGCCTGCTCAATTGAACTGTTTCACAAAACAGCAGCTCTGGTTCTCCATGGCCGGAAGCAGGAAGTGACAGCTATAGAAAGAAGCAGAACCCTTTCCCAGTAAGTATAATAAGTATCCCTCTAAATGATGGAAATTGCTGAAAGAGTTTTCTTGGCTTATTTCCCAGGTTTTAGAAACTTTCCTTTCAGCAAGATACTATTCACACTATACCACTCACATATTATAAGTTTCTTCATTTGGGGTTTTAGTTAGTATGTAGCCAAAGTGTGCTGTTTCTTTTTCACTGAGCCATAAGTCTACGTTATAATTCTGCCCTTTTTATTAATCACTTTATACTCTGAAAACTAGTTCTCAGATTATTGGTCCTGGAATAGAATTAATTTAAACTTTATTTCTAAATGTAATCTAGGATCTTTTAAGTACTATCTTATCTCCTTAGAATGTATTTTTACTTGTTTCCTTTGATTTAACTGGAAAATATATTACTTTCTAGAGGATTTTGTAGAAAAATGTTTTTCTAAGGAATTAACCTCCTCTTCCTGTATCATAAATGCCTACTCAGTCAGATGGGTCCCCACATACATAAGGTAGCTGACTTAGGCATGATTTACTCCCTTTGAAAGCTTTCTTCTTTTACATTTAGTACCAGGGGTGATTTGTTCTTTTCTGATAGTCGTTAAATATAGCTATTAAAAGAAAGAGAAAAACAAAAAAGAATCCTCCTGATTTTTCTCCCTTCTTTTCTAGGATGACAGTTGTGTTGTGTAAAGAGTTATCCTCTTTGTCTAAAGAGTTTACCACCTGCCTAACAACTGCTGGGGTAAGAATTCATTCTTGTTGGGCTAATGTCTGTTTTGTTTTTAAAACAGCTTTGTTAAGATATAGTTTACATACCATAACATCTGCCCATTTCAAGTGTATAATTCAGTGGTTTTATGGTATATTTATAGAGTTGTGCAACTATTGCCATAATCTAATTTTAGACCATTTCATTATTTCCCAGAAAACCACATACCATTAACAGTCATTCACTTTTCCTCCATTCTCTTCTATCCCTACGCAACACTAATCTACTTTCTGTCTATAGATTTGCCTATTCTGGATATTTAATATAAATGGGATCATACAATATGTAGTGTTTTGTGTCTGGTTTCTTTCACTTAGCACAGTGTTTTTGAGGTTCACCCACATTGTACCAGTACTTTTTTTTTTTATCCTCACCGGAGGACATTTTTCCATTTTTTGTTCAGATAGAACGGGAGGGGAGAGAGAGAGAGAGAGAGAAACATCGACGTGAAAGGGACACATCGAGTAGCTGCCACCCACACGACCAACCAGGGCCGGGGACAAACTGCAACCGAGGTACGTGCCCTTAGCGGGAACCGAACCCGGGTCTCTCTGGACCGCAGGCCGATGCTCTAACCGCTGAGCCAAACTGGCCAGGGCTGTACCAGTACTTTTTATTACCAAGTAATATTCTATGTCATGGATATATACCATATCTCTGTGGGTATCCTTATGTTAGTACCATATTATCTTGATTAGTGTAGCTTTGTGGTAAGTTTTAAAGTCAAGAAGTATAAGTCTTCCCACTTGGTTCTTTATTTTCAAGACTTTTTAGATTTGGGCCTATGCATTTCCATATGAATTTTAGGATTGGCTTGTTTATGGCTAACTGATTTTTGCAAGTCATTTTTGTTCTTTCTTTTTATGAAGTCTGCAGTATATTTTGTGCTGTTCTCTGAGACTGTGTTAGAATTGTAGACCTTGATAAAATAAGAACCCCAAAATTTGACTCTAGTTTTAAGGAGTAGTGCCTTAGACTCTGGCAACTCTCATATTTTGAAATTGCTAGCCAGTAGGTAAGTTGTAGTTAAAGCTAAAGTTTTTTTTTTTTTAATTTTGTAAGGAATTGTAAAAATTTACGAGTGTGTTTGAACTATGGAAGATGACTCAAATCAATAATCAGGAATTAGGATAAAATGAAGGGCATATTTTTTCATTTTATTTATTTACTTTTTGATAAGTTTAAATCGTTTAGGGGTACAGCATTACATGGATTCTGTGTCCGACGGCCTTAGTGGGAAGGCTGCTTTGGAATTTAGCACGAACCATGCCATTGTTTCCATGAACACGAGTTACCTTTCCCCAGATTACTCTGGTTTTGTTTGGTTTGCTGCCAGGAGTCACTGTGTCTTCGTTTTGTACACATATGCACGTCTCTTAGAATTCAGTTTTCATCCCGAGCATAAACATCTTCAATTTTAAAAAGAGCCATATGCTCCCACTGGTTCCGGAGACCCCGCATATAGCCAGCAAAAATGACCTTGGCCCAAAGCCTTCCAGATATATTTGTCGTTATAGGAGTCCTGTTCCCAGCAGTCCCCACAGGGGACTTTCCAAGATGGTGGAAAAAAGCAAATGAAGGGCATTTTAAATGAGCAAGTAAAAATTACTTCATAGTAAATTAAGCTCATAATACAAAGAACTGATTGGTACTTGCCAGAGGTAGGGAGTGAAGGTGGGCAAAGTGTGTGAAGACAGTCAAAAGGTACAAACTTCTAGTTGTAAAATAAGTCATGAGGGTGTAATATATAGCATATTGACTATAGTTAATAATACTGTATTGCATATTTGAAAGTTACTAAGAGAGTAGATCTTAAAAGTTCTCATCACAAGAAATTTTTCTTTTTAACCTATGTGTGGTGATGGATTTTAACTAGACATATTGTGATCATTTTGCAGTGTATGCAAATATCAAATCATTATGTTGCACACCTGAAACTAGTATAGTATTATATGTCAATTGTACCTCAGTTAAAGTAAAAATTACTTTATAGTGAGTATATAGGTGTCAGTGTGGCAGCAAAATTATTCTGTGCCCTTAAATTTATTTTAGTTAAGAGCATGGCCCAAATTAATTTTTCTTTTGAATTATACCTGTAGGGTATAATACAGCTATTATAGTTTACACATGTAATCCAATGATATAGCTTCTCTTTTCCTCTTATATTTTCTTTAAAAGAGCTCTTGGGTTTCCCGGAGTTAATCTGAGATCAAATCTTTTCATGTGTTTCATATCTTTTCATGTGTTTCATAAAGATACTTATACCCAGTGGTTCTCAACCTTCCTAATGCTGCGACCCTTTAATACAGTTCCTCATGTTGTATGTGGGTGTATCTGCATGTGGGCGCACCCGCCTGGAGACTGAGCGGTGTTTCGGTTCCTAAGACCATCTTAGGTGATTCCTGTGAAAGGGTCGTTCAATCCTCAAAGGGGTCGCAACCCACAGGTTGAGAACTGCTGCTTTAACCCAGTAAGTCAATTACAAGGTGCTAACACATGCAAATAGTAAATTTGCATTATTTATTTCCATGTTTTTCAAACAGCCATCTTAAAAACCATTGAGTATTTTAAGCACATGTTTCATATCTGCAAATTTTGGTTTAAAATATTTCTAATGTTTTCTGTTCAAATGTAGCTTATCTCTGCCCCCTCTTCCAAAATGAAAATACTTTTCTAAAATCAATAAAAAAACTCCAGAGGTGTACATTATCAATTTGGATAGCACAGAAAGATTATAAAGAAGGAAATTTAAAGTACTTCCAGAGATGACATTTTGCTCTCTCAGTTCAGACTTTTTCTATGCTGACATTAATGTATGGATGTGCATGCGCATGTGTGCATGTGCGTGTGCATGTTTCAGAATGGGATCATACCATGTTTATTGTTTCTTTAACACTGTCCTTTATTCTAGGTCAGAGAAAAGGCAGATGTCCTTAATCCATTAATTACTGCAGTATTTCTAGAGGTTAGTAGTAATTGTTTTTAAGTCTAACTTTTAGACATTTTGTATTAATGAACACTTCTTAAGTTTTTATTTTATTTATTTTTCACAAGATTGGTAGTTTAGCTATATTGATGCATATATGACCAAAATGGTGTGTATTTGATGCATAGTTCCTGTTTACTAAATATAAAACAAAAGATAAAGCTGCTGGGTGGTAAAGTGCATAGGAAGAAGTAGTAAGCGGTCGTCACTTAGTGCTACCCTTTGGCAGTTAATGGACAGTTCTCGATAACAGAACACCTTCTGGAGACCAAGAGGGGAAACATGAAGGGTTGAAACAGGCAAGCACTGCTTCTTTTTAAATTTTTTTTGTTAATCTTCACCCAGAGATACTTTTCCATTGATTTTCAGGTAGAGTGGAAGGGAGGGAGGGAGAGAGAGAGAAACAAACATCGATGTGAGAGAGAGAGAGACATTGATTGGTTGCTTCCTACATGACCTGAACGGGGTCAGGGATCAAACCTGCAACCCAGGTACATGCCCTTGACCGGGAATGGGACCTGCACCCCTTCTGCCAGAGAGCCAACACTAACTCACTCTAACTGAGCCAAACCAGCCAGGGCAGGCTCTGCTTCTTAAAGGATTCAGGCTCATGCAGAGATTTGTTCAAAACAAAACATTTTCTCATTTTCTTGCCAAGAAATTTGCTTTGTTTCGTCAAAGAGGTACCCATGTTTACAAAAATCCTCAGTCCCTTAGATTTAAGGAGATGGGTTGTTTCAGTCCATGGAAAAGGGGGAACAAGAGGATCCCATGATGGATTATATTGCTTCCATGAGTGATGCTTTCTGGAGTCCATGTTTTAAGAACTCTATCTTGTAAATTAATTGTGCAAACAATTTAGACATTTGATGATCTGTTTAAAACATTTATATAAGCATTGAGGGGAGAAAATATATTTGATAATTGGTTAGGTTTTTTTCTTCATAGATTTTAGAAAGAGAAAGGGAGAGGGGGAGAGAGATAGAAACATCAATGAGAGAGAACATTGATTGGCCACCTAATTGGTTAGGTTTTTAATATGAATTCAAAAGATGTTATTGCTACTGGACTGTTACTACTTTAGTTTTAAATTCTGTAAAGTGTCCACTAATGAAATGCCTTTAATTCCTTAACTGCACAATTTTCTTTGAATAGTTAGGGAAATTATTCTGATCACTTAAACAGTTTTTTTTTTTTTTTTTAAATAAGTTTGTGCCTGGCCAGTGTGGCTCAGTGGATTGAGCATTGTCCCATGGACTGAAAGGATCCGGTTTGATTCCTGGTCAGGGCACATGCCCGTGTTGTGGGTTCGTTACAGGGTATGCAGGAGGCAGCCGATTGATATTTCTCTCTCGCTTCGATGTTTCTATTTCTCTCTCCCTTCCCCTCTCTCTAAAAAATAAATGAAAAGATATTTTAAAAAGTAAATAAAAAATAAAATAAAGTAAGTTTGTGATTTAGTAGATGGTCTCAGAATGGTTTAGGTGAAAGAAGTTTGCAAACTAGGAGTCCAGCCCTATACTGGATCTTCCCTGACTTTTTTGTTATTGCTGTCTTATGGTATATTTTCTTTTTTAAGTGACTGGTATTTTCTTTTTTCAATATTGACAGGCATCAAATAGTGCTTCTTATATTCAGGATGCCTTTCAGCTACTCTTACCTGTGCTGGAGATCTCGCTCATTGAGAACAAGACTGAATTACCAGAGGCATGAGCTGCGGAGCCAGAGGCCTTTGTCAGAACATTGAAGAACAGAGAAGATTGACCTGAGACTTGTGATGGCCAAGAAATGCCACTCTATTCTGGGTACCCTTGCAGAAATGAGGGAGAGAAGGGTTATTTTAGCATAAAAAAATTTCAGGCAGGATACCAGTTTTACAGGGAGTTTGTTGCCTTCATTGCTTGGTTAAAGTATTCAGGTTCTCACACCGCTCTTCCCGGTTGTTATGATTAATAACTTATTTGAAAGGAAACTTTCTAAAGAAAGTGAAAAAATAATAGCTCTAAATAAAGGTTAGTGGGACACTCAGGCAAATATTGGTCTTTTCTTTGATGGTGCAAAACACTAACAATTTTGTCATAGACATAATTGATTGTTAAGCAAGAAAAAAGTACTTAATTTAGTATTCTAGAATTCACATTTGATCTATTAATGCCATGCACTTTCTTCTTTCTTTAATAAAATGGCTTTAAGAAGCTGAGTATATGTAAACTCTATAATGATTACCCTTTATTACACAAATTCTTGGAATTGGTTAGAAAGTTTTATCTGCTCTTTAATTCTCAGCAGATAGTTGGCATTGAGGAGAAACTTATAGAACACACTTGTAACTACACGAATTAACTATAGCAATGTGTCCTTTGGCTTCAAATTGCTCTCTCACTCCAAGATGACAAGTTTCAAGTTGTAGTTGACTTCCACTCAACTGGATTCAATACCAATAAGTGCCATTTAGAGGAACAGCTTCATGTTTGCAGATACTCTGAATCTCTCCAGGATGTTTTTCATGCATATTCCATGTGCAGGATAAATTCAGTAAGAGCCAGCTCCAAAGGAGTGTGAAGCACTTACAGTAATGGGGTTTTTGTTGTTTGAATATTGTTGAAATGGACTGTAGAGTCCTATAGAAGTGATGTTCATTTATGACAAGATTTATACCTATTAGGTATGGTATATTTTTCCTCATTCCTTTTGTTTTAATGTATTCTTTAGCATGTTTATAAATACAGCTTTATCCTTGCTAGATCGTCAGCCTTCTTTTTGTTCTCTTCTACAGTTTAAGAGACTAAAAGGTGATTGTCTTCCTAAAAGTTATTTTGATATTCACTCTTTTTTAGAAAGTTCTTCAACTTTGTGGATTTTTAATGATTTAGGTAACTTTTGGGATTTCTGCCACTTATCTTCTAAAACCTTTAAATAGAATAATAATTTTTACAATTGATCCTTTTATTTGTCTAAACATGAGCCCTGATATTTTTCTTAGACCAAAGAAATAGCAAAGCCATAACGTAGAATGATGTCAAAACTATTTCTATGTGATTGCCTTATCGGGGGTAGGGAGCTGTTTGTAAGCATAGAGGAAAATAAATAGATCTTGCTAAATAGGTATACCAACAGCACTAAAATGTAGTTCTGCTTATTTTCTGTTCTAAAGTGATCAGAAACATTTTTAAATATTCCTTTTTATAGACAAATTTTATTGTTCCCAAAGTGACACATTTTGAAACTTAGTAATACAGTTGCCTTGTGGTTAATAAAATTGGTGTTCCAGTTCTGATTTGTTGCCTCAAACTCAGTTGCTGTGTCTGAACCTGGATCCCTTGAGCAAGGTATACCTTGAGGGAGGTTTAGAACTGGTCCTAGTGCCTAACCTGTTCAGACTCTTGTAAAAAAAACTGAACAAATATTTTTTTTCTTTTATTGATTTTGAGAGAGGAAGGGAGAGGGAGAGAGAGAGAGAAACATCGATGAGAGAGAACATCAGCTGGCTACCTCCTGCATGCCTCCCACTGGGGATTGGGCCCACAACCTGGGTATGTGCTTGACTGGGAATTGGGGTATAGATGTGGAGGATTGAACAGTAATTCTCTTTATGTGTCTATCCAGATTGTAGTCCTGAATTTGACCAGTTTTAGATTAGACCTTTCAAAAGCCAAATGTGACCCACTGCCTCTTCTTTCTTCCTCATTTCTCTCATCAGCTTCCCCCCATCCACCCAAATGTTTTTTAATGGATTTAGACCACCAATGAAATGACAAAAGGACCAATTAATTCTGAATAACACCGAAAATACAATGAAAAAAAAAAAGTTCCTTGATTCAGTAGAGATAGAGAAATAAGAGCATAAACATTCATTCATAGGTGAATAGGTAAATTTAGGGGGCATCTTGGAACCTATTGGATTATAGTGAGGGCTTTGGATGGTACATGGTTCTTTATACTGTTTGAGGTCAGTACATTATGTAGTTTCTTGATGATACCTACTCTTTTGGTGCTATTTCCTTTACATTTTCTGGTATCTAAGATTTACCATTATGTCCTAATACATGCTACCCCCCTTTCCAATTTACTTAACTCAGTAGTTAAAATGTTCAGTTATTACTGGAGTAAATGCTTCTCTTCCTACTATTGAGATCTTTAAAGGCTATGATTAAAAGAGACTTCATTGATTTGATCTAAAAGAAATAGAAACTTTCATGAACTAATTCTTGTCTTCTTTTCCTTTACACAATACCTTGGAAACATTATAGACAGGCTATTTTTTTTCTTGTTTTTGATAGATTTATTTATTTATATTTTTTAGGCATAGATACCCAGATTGATAGGACTTTGAAATGTGAAATAATAATTCACACAGGTGGCATTTCTACCAATCCAAAATTAGTGCTAATGCACAAATATGAATATTTTAGTCCTACAGTCAGGAAACAAGACCTGTGGATTCCTCCACCTGAATGAGAACCTTCGTTTTATACTTGTTTTTATCTAAAGACCTGTTTGAGGGAGAGATGTTTTATGCATAGTTGATATTGATATCATTATTTGAGAAGGACATTTTTTATATTTTTAGATGCATTCTGAATTTTAAAGATGAGGATATTCTTCATGTTGTAGAAACCCAGAATAAAATTGTACCCATGTTGGGCACTCCAATAATCATGGCATTTCACAAATGTCAGAGATTGGAATTTCATATTATGTCTTAACAACATAATGTGATGCTCATTTTCACAGAAGACTTGAAGCATTTGAGAAACAAGGAGATTCTAAAAATAGACCTTTTAATTATCATGTCATCAGATCTCTGGCCTAGTATATGAGGAGAGTTTTGAAAACGTCCTCAGTAGTGTCACTTTCCAACTGCACCCTGATATTCTTTAAGCACCAGTCCACTCGTTCCTCCCTTTTTACTTGCGGCCCTTGTTATTGCATTCTTTCTTGCTATTTCATCATTTGGCCAAATCCCAAAGTCCTTTCGTGTCTAATTATCGCTTCTCCAATCAACTCTTCAGGAAAAAAAAAAATCAAAATCTTCTCTGAAACTCATTTGTCCTTTAAGCTCAAGACAAAGGAAGGCTACAGTGATTGATCACTTCACCCTTGGACATCAGTGTTGAATTTTCTAAACATTTAAGTTTCAGACTGCCCTGCCTTTGTACAGGGCATATACAGAGACTAAAAATTGAATGTAATTGTCATCTGTTTCTACTTGTCCGCCCTGTATGTGTCTCTTTCTGTACACACTGGCCATTGTTGTGCTCTTAAGCTACTTCTAAAGAGGAAGTAATTTTCCCAACTTGATTGTGAAGGCACCAAGTATGCTTAATTTTTTAAAGCACATTTTAAAGTTGGAATGGGAGTAGTTTGTGGCACAGTGTCTCCAGCCAGTCTCACATGGGTAACCAACCAGTGCACTGACCTCAGCAATTTCAGCCAGACTTGTTTATGTAGATAATTCAGCCTGAATTATCTACATAATAATTGCAGCTATTTATGTCAGAAGTGAAGGATTTCTCTTAGTTGTTTAGTACAACTGGATCTTCCTTTAGCTCTCTCACACATATCATTGAGAGTAATAAGAACTATGTAGTGTGTATGTTGAAGCAAATGTTTCCAAATTAGGATTGAATATTCTTACATATTTATAGCATTCAGTAAATCAGCTAACACTTAAGTTCCCCTTTTGGGGGAGGGTTCTTTGTTTTGCTTGCCCTGAGTTTCCAGCTTCTGGCGTAGGGTCTGGCACATGGTAGCACATGTGTCGGCTGACTGAAAGAAGGAAGAAAAAGATGGGGAAACAAACAGGAAAGGAAATGGGGAATGGGGGTGGGGTGGCCTAGTGCTTTGCCTCTGGTAGAGAATGCAGAGCTGAAGGGATTCTCAGGTATGTAAGATTGAAACCCCTCATTTCACAGCTAGGGACATTGAGACCATAAGAACAACTAACTACCCTGAAATCACATAGCCGATAGGAGGCTCTGTGGGAACCTGAACCCAAGTCTTTGGATCCCTGGCCTGGCTTGTCTTTGTTACACCAGAGCCTCACTGTTGTTCTGTGCACATTTACTGGGAGGCTACTCCCAGACACTGGGGCTGGGGAACAAAATGCAGAATGCGTGGCCTCTGTCCTGTAGGAGCTCACACTGGTGCCACTGTCTGAGCAATCTCTGCATTGCAGATGCAAAGCCCTCTGACGACGAGGGGAGGCAGCTTCTCTGTTGTAATGAACTGTGGCTGAGTTGGGTGGACTTGTCCCAAATCTGGTTGTGATTGTTGGGGCAGGTCTGCATTGCAAATGTTTGCAGATACATCCATCAAAACCCTCAAATTGTTACTTTTGTGCTGGTGGCTTTTGTCTTAAGTGGCCAATTTTTGCTTTATATAGAACTACAGAATGATCTGTTATTCATCAACCACCGATAGTTAAGAGGACACTAAAATGTGGAATGGCTTGACTACCAGGCACCATGCAACATACTTTTCTCTGTAAATCTTCCCAACTGCTCTGTGAGACAGGGCAAGACACCCCAGCAAATGGGCCTGCAGGATGGTGTAGAAGTTAGGAGTAAAAACAGACTCAAAGTTGAATCTCAGCTCCCTCATTTTCTAGCCCAATTATCTTGAGCAAGTGACTTAATCCTTTAAAATGCAGTTTTGTCATCTATAAAATAGTCTCATGACAGCAATTACATTATGAAGTCATTGATAGGATTAAATAAAATCATCTGTGTAAAGTGCTTAGACTAGTGCCTGCCACGTAGCAAAATGAGGTAATGCTTAGTGAACACTGTGTGCCAAGCACTGTTCTGAATATTTCACATGTATTAATTCAGTCCTCACCATGAGATAGGAACCAGGAGCATACCCATTTACAGATGGAAACACTGAGGCACAGAGAGGTTAAATAACACGGGGTAGAGTCAGGATCCAAACCCGAGCAATTTGGTACCTGAGTTTCTGTTTTTAAACATTGCATTACCCTGCTGCCATAAGCTATCAGTTAAGAAACCGTAATGACTATTAGCTACTTTATTATGATGATTATGAAACAGATTTAGAGAGTTAAGTGACTTGCTAAGATTTCACAACTATAAATGGCAGAGCCCTTGCAATGTGAACCCAGGTGGTTTGGCTCCCAAGCTCATGTTTGTTATATTTTTTCTTTTAGGGGAAAAGCTTGGAGGAGGTACCTGTC